CTCATCAGTCGCAAACACATTACGATCAGAAACACATAAGGGATTATATACATGGAAAAAAGGGGCACCGCCAATCAACATGTCACAGTCAAGACCATGGCAACCGAATTGATTGCCTCAAGAGTTTCTGTGCACATAGCACAGGTTGATAAGCCTTAATTAGCAACGCCGCACTAATTGCTGGCATTATCGGGTTTTTGTTACGTAATAACATTTTGAACGCTGTCTTGGGGTTCACGTGATGACGGGTTGTCATGAGGGGCTTGGTGATAGACGATGCAGGGCTCCGATTGATTCTCAGATTCGTCCCATGTTGTTGCGTAATCACTTGTCCCAACCACTTTGGCAAGTGTTTAGCTACCCTCTGAGCTAACTGACGGTTTGTTCTGCCTATGTAAATGTCACCGCAACCGCAGGTGAACTGATAAACAACGTGAGAGGCCGAACTACCCGACGAGATGCTCTGACGGTTATGAAGAACAAGTGCTCGCGTGGTATGCCTGAGTCGCAACTGGGCTGTCGTGTAGGTTCGCGTTAGGGCGGACCGGAGCTTCCGTCCGATGTCATTTGCCACATGGTCCCCCTTGAACTGCAACAACAAATAAACATTCTTTTTCTCAGCCGTCAACACCGGTGTTTTTACGCTGGGAGGTCTGCTGTGTACCTGAATAAAATTCTTAGAATATCCATTAGAAATTAAGGTCTTGCGTAGAAATTCTTCTTCGGCTTGTAACGTTTCGGGGTTGCAAATATGTCTAGCCCGGTCAAAGAGAGTTCTCACTAACCCGCGTTTGTATGCGGTCGGGGCGAAGCTTGAAAAATGAAGGTACTGTCCAGTCCAAGTCGATTTGCCGTGAACAGTGCGCTGCAACTTACCTTCAGTCTGTCTTCTAATGAGTATATCCAAAAACGCCAGGCAATGATGCTGTTCCACTTCATGGGATACCGACAGATTAGGGTGGATCGAATTTAGGATGGTCAGTAGCCGATTAAAATGTTCTCCGCTGGTGAAGAGTAAAATGTCATCCACATATCGTCTGTACAATTTCGCTTCACCAATGCTCTCAGCAAGTTGCCTTTCTACCAGGTCGAGGAAGATGTCGGCTAAAACTGGTCCCAGCGAGCTGCCCATAGCGACCCCGTCGATCTGTTTATATGCGGTTCCCTCAAATTCAAACCGTATGTTCGCGGTGCACAATAGAATCATATCCTTTAAATACTCCACTGGCAGGCCAACAGACATATTTTGACTCAGGATAAAAGCACATAAATTATCAACCGTCTCACGTAAAGGTACATTGGTGAATAAGGAGTCCACATCCATTGAGTACATAAGCTCTGCACTCAGTGACAAATGTTCCAGTGTCTCAGCCAGTTCAAAGGAGTCTTTCAGGCAATACGTAGCGAGGAGTTTACGTACTGGATCTAATAGTTTGGCCAGCCACCGCGCGACATCGTGATAAGGTGAATTGTTCATGCACATAATCGAACCTAGCGGAAATCCCGCTTTGTGTAACTTGGGTGCGCCTCGCATTCTAGGTGTCTGTGTCCCGGTCGGTTTTAAGTGCCTGTACTGTGATTCATTGATGTAACCATGTAGCAGGAGGATCTGGAGCTTCCTTGCCACCTGCTTCTCCACCAGGATGTTGTTTTCCGGTGTATTATCTAGCTGGAACTTTCGAGTGTCTCCCAGAATGGACTCCATCTTCGAAATGTAGTCAGGCCTGTCCATTACTACAATACCCGATCCCTTATCCGGCTGCAGGAACATTACGTGCTTCATTTGCTTCAACTCCTTGGTCGCCGTATAGTGTTCAGATTGTAGACAGCACCTCTGACTTATCGGCATACACAGAAGATGGTTCGCAATATCTACCAATTTCGCCCGAAACCAACCCGCATCTTTTGTCGATCTTGGCGTGAGGTCACTGAGCTGTTCATTCAGATACTCAAAATGTGCCTGCGTGGTGACCTTGTCTAGCGCTTTTGGCGGCAGTCGGTATTGCATTCCAAGCGAGAGAACTTCCAATTGAGTGCGCGTGAACTGAGCAGAGGACAAATTGTATACGTGCATCAAGCAATCAGTAAGAAAGGAAGCATTGGTGGCTTTAGCAAGAGAACCTTGCAGACTGCGTACTGTTTTTGCTCTTGTACGACGGAGAACTTCAGCGGAAAAGGCCTCAAATTTTAATCGACAAACCAACGGCAATTCATTGACTGTGCAAGCGAATCGTCTCTGCGTCTCGAGAATTTTCCGTTCTCGTTCCAGACAGGCGTCGATATGCGCCGACGCGATCCTGGTCAGATTGGTGTTGTTTATCGGTAACCTGTTCCTAGACAAGGTCTTGGCGAATCGCGGCGAGAAGGAACCTGAGCGGATACATTCCTCAAAACTTTCGAATGTTTTAAATAAACGATGAAGAGATTACTCAGATATTGTGCACATATTGTGCACTCGTCCCATACACCTATACTTCAATCCCTTCTTCATACATTGACTCCACTCTGCAGTCCAGTTTCATAAGTTCTTCGACTTGCAACATTGTGAAGTACGTATCCACCATATTTGAAAAAAATTGTCTAGACTCATATATTCGCAATTCAGTAGGTAGCCTGTTCCAGATATCTGAGTACTTCGTCAGATAAAACTTCTCGCGTACGCCTGTTTCTGTTCTACTTGTGGGAAGCGCATTTCCCTTATTCCTAATGTTATACCTTCTATCCTGAATGAAGTGCACATTAGTGTGGGAGGCAAGTACTGGTGTGTGCACTAAGTCGAATAGAATCCTCAGGCCCAGTTTCAACCTCCGTAAAAACAACGGCTCTAATTTAAGCAGAACATAGCATTCCGAATAGGTTGTAGTTGGGAATTCGGTAAATAGGGCTTTGGTGAATCGACGCTGCACATTCGCTAAGTATAGACGATCATGTTTCCTACAACTAGTACATATCATCGAACAGTATTCCAAAGGAGGGCGCACACAGATCTTGAACATATGCAGCGTGGAATCACGCAATCTCAGTGATATGAAGATTAACCGCGCTGTTTGGCGGGCTTTGGCTGCGATGAGTTCGATCTGCTCCCCGAAATTGAGGTTGTTGGAACAATTAATACGCAAATCGCTTATTGAGTTGCGAAATGGAATTGGCTTTCCACATAGGTATAGGGTGTTCATATCCATTGTGCATCAATATGCGAAGATCCCGCATTGATTCAAGGCGAATCAAATTTGCCAGTTGGCACACCATCTTTCGAGAGCGAATAACTCACTACGTATCTTATGCAAAGTGTGTTCCAGATTTCTAGGATTAGAAGTGTACAATACTTAATATCATCATATACAAAAAGGTAGACTGTACCATTGTATTAGTTTCTGTTATGTCATTAATGTACATCTGTTATGCAAACAGCTTCGATAAAGTCAATCCAATATGTGCGAGGAACGGTTCCTCTATGTGCATCTGTTGTTCATCGAATGTAAGAAAAAGTAGGACGGCACCCATGAGTTGTCTTGTCGAATTCGGCGTCGAAACCTAAATAAATTCAGCGCCGAACGTAAGGGACGTAGTATCAAAAACAAAGTACCATAGTCAGAAAAAAGCTGGCAGAGAACAAACTCAATCGCAGAAGCCTAAAATATAGAACATCATACAGCTAGTAAGAAGAGACATGAGGATTTGAGAGGCTATTTGAGCTAGACACTCCTGTGGCCTTGTGGGATTAGTAGCAGGCACTTTGATAGAAATGAATTCAGCCGTCTCTCCTATTTCCCAGTATTCATTTACCTTTATCTTCGGCCTGGTTTCGAGAGTCGTTTTTCAATCTCATAACGCAGGTTTTAGATCCTGCTAGCGGAAAGATGGATGATGTGGATTACCAAAAGTCTTCGTCTTGATAATCAACTTCTGACCGCTGTGTCAAGCGCTCCTCGCGGAGCTCAGTGGCCTAGTGATCATAGCGACAGCCACCAAGCACTATGTGCCGCGTTCAACCATCAGACCAGCTATCGCTATCTGATGAGCCAAAACGAAGACGAAACGCGTCAAAGGATACAGTGATAAGAGACTGCAACATCAAAACCCTTTAAAGCTTCGTCAAGTTGTTTGACAATCATTGAAGAGTACAGTCAAATCTCGGAAAAGGCACATGCAGTTCAATAAAGATCGGCTTCTTGTTGATTACCATTAAAGGGTGATTATATTGTGAAAATCACTGTGAAACATATTAGTGCTTCAGTGAAAAAAGCGAACAATGCAGCTGAACTACAGCTGCTCATAGCAACAAGACCGCTACTTATGTGTTTCATCGATACACCGATAAGGAGGCTGTAGCTGCGGAGACAGGTATATCGGGCACAGTGCCAGTATAATGCCAGTAAATGATTACATTTCCGAGTGGCTATGCAACCGATTGCGATCGATGAACATGGGATTGGATGAATTGGGAAAACGGGGCGCCTCAGCAATCATAAAGTATTTGCTGAACACCGGCCTACCGAGTCAATCCCAATGAATCATTCAGCGTCATGATGCGCAGTCAGCAGCCCCACATTCTCACGTCATTGGAAACCATCATCGTCAACAGAGGACGGCATTGTGTGCAGAAACAGCTGAGTGTGAGTTCGAAGTTGCCGTTGTAGTGCAAGGTGCGCCAATTTGCCAACGATTGGCCAGTGATCGACCTCATATAAACGTGTACTGTATACTTATAATTCTGCTTGGATGTGGTTGACGGGCTTGGGCAAAAGGACTGAGTCATCTCACAGTTTACACCCTGATTCTTCTGCTTAGGTTCTCATGGTTTATTCAATAAACTTAAGTCCTACATTGCGTAGGTCTTAAACTTCATTTTTATTCATTATTAAAGTTGTCTGTATTAATATAGCGCTTTAACAGGCAAAGCATCAGTACAAAGTACCTATGTACCCTTTTTTGTGATAATAAATATGGTGACAGCAAGCATAAAGGTGATAATAACTCGAACTGTTGTGCACTTACAGGCGTTAGCGGATGCCATCAGTGGACTTCTAGGTGGCACATTGACCGAAGAACAAGCAGACGAGCTTTTCTCGCTGTTTGAATTAACACCAGAGAACAGATCTTTGACGCTAGAAGAGTTCTGTGTGCTCTGCGCAGTGGCGGAACGTCTATACTATCAGAAAAACTTGTAAGTCACGCAAATGTTGGTTCCTGTTATATTTTTGTGAGGGAGACATGACACGCATTGATACGTTGAGCACGCGCTTTGCAAATGGGATGTATGCTCGTTCGATGGCCAGCTGGATTAGGTGACTACATTGTAACCCACAGACAACCGATTCGAATCTGCTTAGATGCAGGCTACCTCGCAGTATCGATCCCACACGTGGCTGGGGGTTGTCGCGTGGCAGCGAACCGTCGGGACGACATACTGCCGCCACATTAGCCTTGGTGTACGGCCCTCCAAGAATGAAAGCAAAGGTTGGGTAGGAGTAAGTAAGCACCAGTTAGGAAGAAGGTGGGCAAATATCGTTCTAGTAGTGAGCTGACGGCACCTATCTAAACGCATGGTCTAGCCTGTAAAAATGAAGGGCGGTTGGAAGGGCAAAGTATACTGAACTAACCGTACTTCCGCATTAGTAATCACAAAACATGAAACGTGTAGTTCACAAATAGGTGAACAGAGTCCCAAAAGTAATTCCATGCAATCAACTCATACAGCCTGTGCTAGTTTGACAGCATAATGTATAGCAGATTAAAACAAAGCGCCGGATACTTTGGCTATACAAATTGACTTACATAAACAAACTAACATTAGCTAGCAAAGATAAGGAGGAAAATAGGCAAATCAACAGTTAATGCACATTACAAATGTGCAACAAAAAATTTATTATCTATAACAGAAATGCCAATGTCTCTACCTTATAGAATACACTCCACTGATCTTAGAAATGTATTCCGCTGTTACCTCGTACGTCAGTTTACATTTTTATAAGCAAAGGATTATTTTCAGTAATGTCAAGATTACGTCGTAGGAAGTATACATAAATGAACTGAAGCACAACACATGCCGAATGCATCTATGTGGCAAATACGATTAAAACATCACTGCAACACTCGCCGCTAACTACTTACTGCAGCTTGACACTGGGAATTGATGAGTTCGCCGAGATTGTCGCTTGCATGATCCAGCGCCCTCACGCTGCAGAAACCAGTAAAAGTCACCCATCATAGAAGGCGTTTACTTGCCACTGTACAATGAACAGTAATTTATGTCGGGTAAAAAAGCAGTTTCTAGACAAGTCCCCGCAGGATGGTTGCGGTAAAACTACAACTATCAAACGATAGATGAGTTGTCTGTTTGGGCGTTTATCTAGCAGATACGCTGCTGAATGATAGTAGTGTAGTTGGGAATTGAATGCGAACGACGTGACAACAGGGGGACAGTTATAGTTGATGTATAACATGTGAAAAGTAAAAATAAGAATACTCACTTCTGTCCCGCATCCTCAGGTTTACTTAACATGCTAATCTGGTTTGGACGGATAATTAATATATTCCAAAGTTGCACAGTTTAGGCAACGAAGTGATGGGGGCCAAGAGCAATATCCAATCGTTTTTTGAAAAGATTCAAGGTGGGGGAGGAAACAACGAAGTATGGGAGAGAGTTGTAGGGTTGGCAAACCCGAAGAGAAAAATAATTCCGACGGCATTCCAGGCGGCTAAACTGTGCACACAATTTCAGAAGGTTACCTCTGAGATTGGTGTTATGGTTGAGCTTCAGCGAGTGACGGCACACGTGATTAGGGTCACTCAATATTTTGTTAGATTAATTTGAGATCACCGCGTAGCTCCACGACTGAATTGTCTTGTTGAAAGCGCTCACTATGCTCTTCGCCAACAGATTCCAAGCTCTCAGGGAAAAGAGCAAGGTGATTATGCAGAGAGTGCAACTTGAGTGACATTCGAGTACCAGCAGCCCGATAGTCCGCAATGAACTTTTTGTAAGGTATTTGTAGTTCGCTGCTTTTGTTCTGCCCATAAATCCTGTATAGATTGCCTTGAATAAACTCCACGCTTCTAACTCAAACGAAGTCAACTGGAATTCGAAAGCACTGTCTGCCATTATCCGGCGAATAACAGGTCCAGTAAGTATCCCTTCTTTGAGCTTCGCATCATTGATCTTCGGAAACACATGTTTCAGGCACTGGAACGCAAAACCATGTCGATTGAGGGCTTTGACGAAGTTTTTGATCAAAACAAGCTTGATGTGCAGGGATGGTAGATAGATATGATCAGGTTACATAAGAGGTGTGTGTATTCACGCATTTTTCTTGCACCATACTCCGCCCTTTCTGACCACTTTGCGGTTGTGTAGTGCCGTTGAGTTGCTCTACTGACCCATAAGCACAAGAAACAGCAGTAGTTTGTGAAACCTCTTTGCGTAGACATTAGAAGTCCAAGGACTTTGAAATTAGCACATATATTCCGACAGTACTTCCCGTAGTTCAGTGCAGTGAGCATCTCTCGCATACTTTCGTAATTCTCCTTCTTATGGATGGCATGCAACAGGGACACCGTTGGGTGCACGTTTCCATTGTGGAGCGGTATGACCTTAAGATTACTCTTGAACGAGTGAATGAACAAACGCCATTCATCACCGAGATGCCTCACGCCAAACTTCTTCATCAGTCCTTCCATGTCGGAACAGTAACAAAAGGTTTCTCTCGTGTTATAGAAACCGGACAATTTGACAGTGTTTTCTGTATGCAGTAACCTTAGTGGTTGCAGAAAGTAAGTGCCACAGCTGCAGCTGAGATGCCAATAACGCGGCCATGTTTTTAGGCAAGCCTAGGTCACGTACCAACTCATTCGGCTTTGAGTGTTCTATAAGATCTGGGTTGACATGATCAGCTGCAAGTTTTCACAGATGTCAGAAGCAGGGGAAGTTATTGATGCGGAACCACCACTCATCAGTAGTATCATGTTCACTGGAGGCATTATAATTGGTAAGGTGTAATCATGAGGAACAGTACGAATACCTGATGGAAGATCGGAGTAATGAACTTCGTCCTTCAAAGTTGAACTTGGAGAATCCGCTGGTGGTTGGGTTGCTACAAGCAACCTTTATTGAGACTTCGGTTCACTTGAGGTGGACCTCGGTCATTCCGATCAATATGACCGTAAGTAAAATGGAACATTACAGTCGTGGGGTGCCAGTGTTGGGATGAGCAACACTATAATGTTTCCATTTTACTTACGGTCCTTGTGATCGTAATGACCGAGGTCCACCTCAAGTGAACCGAAGTCTCAATAGAGGTTGCTTGTAGCAACCCAACCACCAGCGGATTCTCCAAGTGCAACTTTGAATTTGTTACTGCTGGACCAAGAGTTGCTCGCGGATCTCAGTGGCATAGTGCTTATGGCGTAAACCATGAGTCACTAGGCTCTGAGTTCCAGCCCAACTCAGGCTATCTCCAACTGATGAGTCCCAACCAGGACGGAACTTCGTCCTGATTTCGGTTGGAGATACCAATGACACCGGTTAGACAGAAGTGGCAGTCTGTCGTGTGATACTTCGGCTCCCTCCACACCATGGGGATTGCAAAGGGCATCTTGCCTTTGCCCTTGAGTCACTGAGTCAGATGAAGATTGCAGGATACACAAACAATAGGCGGTGCCCTATTCTTATCCTGATCTCTCAGTTTCATCCCAAAATATGTATGGTACGAAGACTTCAGTAGTAAAGAGATGGGTCTACACCGCAACTTTGTAATAAACTGTCCGCAGACGTAAGAAAAATGATTTTGATCATTAACACAGCAGTCTTTCAGCCACCATCAATAGAACAATTAAGGAAATACAGCTTCTAATCGACTTTTAGTATCGAGTGGATATTATGGCCAGTAGGACTTCTTTTCCACGATTATAGGGAGTGAATGGACCTATTACAGGCGAACACTCGATGCATGGAACGCACTACATAATTGAAATGAAAAATTGAAATTAAATACCAGACGTGATAGAGACATTTGGTTTGCATATTCGTAATCAGCTAGCTCACTTGGTACGACTAGAGAGATAATATCTCATTTCTGCTACAAAAATGATGTTGGACACTGTAATGAGCCCTTCGTTGCGGCAACAAATGCGAAGTAAACAATACTACTTGTAAATACAAAGTAGCAGTTACGTCAGTGATTTGGGGATTCACACTCATTGCGCACGAACTTGGACCGCGGTGTCTAAGCGTCAAGTCGCTACTAGTTTGTTGCTATAAATAAATAAATAAATGGCAGATTCCTCGATCTACCTTGTCAGTAAAACGTAGCCGGTCAACGCTTAATGTCCGATCATTGTCGGATGAAGCAATTCGTCCCTCGGTTTATAACGCGGCGCGGAATCAGCATTTTCGGCAATTTACGCGAACACAGCGGATTTACAACCAAATCGGTGAAAAATGATGCCAAATGACAAGAATAATAGAAAGAGGTCATTTAAAAATAAGCAAACGTTCTAGCAATTGTTGCATTATCACTTTCGGGTCTGCTAACAAGCAAGACAGGTAAGGTACTATGGAGTTGCGATGCGAAGAGGTAGGGGAAATTAAAGCTTTAGACTTTGACCGCGTGGAAGAAATGAATGCCGCAGTTGCTCAAACGGTGTGTACGGAGTGAGAGGATTCGTTTAGAACCTTGGATGAGAAGTTAAAGCTTGCGTCAAAATGCCTGCTACTCCAGAGCATCGGGAAATAAATTTTAGTGATCGCACAATCAAAGTGAAATCATTTTAAAGAAATCCGGAGAATTGTAATAGGGGAACAGTATAGCCAATGGGGGAAGAGTACATGCATTTGCAATCCTTAGAAGTAGAACACGAAATACGGAGAGTATTCCGAACCAAAGGGAGTAAAAGGATAGTCTTCTGACTTTTTGCAAATTTGCAAGAATATGTGTCGACTAGGATAAATTGTAGGACAAAAACACCGAGATACATTGCGGAATATGAACGAGGGGTGTTTTAGTCGCTCATTACTAAAGGAGAAGCATTTAAAAAGAACGCAGTTTGTCGGTGCGCGGAAAAGAGAATGTGATATCCCACTACTTAGAACAATGAGTTATCATCGGTAAAAAAGCAGGTGCTTGACAAGTCCCGTAGTGTGGTTATAGTGAGGAAAAAAACATCAAG